CGAGTGTCCGAGCGACGACGAGGACCTGGAGGAGTGTGAGCCCGGCACAGGTGGGTGCTCCTCCCCGGGGCCGCCCCGGGGCACACGCGTGTGCGCACGGCCTCGCACGCCCGCCCGGGGCACCCCCTCCCCCATCCCGGCCCCCCCCTCCCTCACACACGCACACGCGTGTGCGGGGGGGTGGCGTGTGCTGGGAACACGCCTCGTGTCTGCACGCACGGAGACGGGGGGTGCGCGGTGGGGCCGGCGCACGGGGGCACGTGTGCAAACGGGGGGGGCACAAGAGCTGCTCGCACACGCGCGCAGGCAGACGTGTGTGCAGAAGAGGTGCTCACGTGCCTGCACACACACACACACGTGCACAGACATGCACAGGAGCTGCTCACACGCCTGCACACGCATACGTATGTTCACATGTGTGCACAAGTGCTGCTCACACACCCGCATATGCACACACGTGCACACACGAGTGCACAAGTGCTGCTCGCACACCTGCATATGCACACACACGTGCAGAGACGCGCACAGGAGCTGCTCACATGCCTGCACACGCATACGTACGTTCACGCCGGGGTGCACGAGAGCTGCTCACACACCCGCATATGCACACACACATGCACACATGTGTGCACAAGTGTTCTTCACACACCTGCATATGCACACACACGTGCACAGGCATGCACAGGAGCTGCTCACACACCAGCACACACATACATACATTCACACGTGTGCACAAGTGCTCCTCACACACACATGCAGAGACACGTACAGGAGCTGCTCACATGCCTGCACACGCATACGTACGTTCACACATGTGCACGAGTGCTGCTCACACACCCGCATATGCACACACGTGCAGAGACACGCACAGGAGCTGCTCACACCCCTGCACATGCATACATACGTGCACACATGTGCACAAGTGCTGCTCACACACCTGCATATGCACACACGTGCAGAGACATGCACAGGAGCTGCTCACACACCTGCACATGCATACATACGTGCACACATGTGCACAAGTGCTGCTCACACACACGTGCAGAGACACGCACAGGAGCTGCTCACATGCCTGCACACGCATACATATGTTCACACATGTGCACAAGTGCTGCTCACACAAGCAGAGACATGCACAGGAGCTGCTCACACGCCTGCACACGCATATGTACCTTCACACAGGGGTGCACGAGAGCTGCTGACACACCAGCATATACACACACACGTGCACAGACATGCACGAGAGCTGCTCACAGACCAGCATATGCACACACACGTGCACAAATGTGCACAAGAGCTGGTCACACGCCTGCACACGCACACACGTGCCCAAGAGCTGCTCACACACCACCACACACGCACACACACACACACAGACTCCCACGTGCCCCTCGCACGCCCCCCTCACACTCGCGCCCCCTTGCACGTGGCCCCGCCCCTTGCACGCCCACACACGTGTGCTCCCTGCCCTGCGGCACACGCTCCTGCCCCCGTGCACACGCGTGTGCTCTGTGCACGCCCTGCCCCCCCCCACCCCCGCCTGACGG